GGGGAAGAAATCCATTATACCTGACTTGGAGACCCATCATTCAAGGACGCCCTTGTGGAAGAACTGGGGCTCGAAAGGAATTGACTAAAGCTCTAGGGCTATTCAGGAGCTCAGCAGGCATCTGGCTTATGACCAGAAAGGAAGTAAGAGAAAGAGGAAGCATATTTCTTGGCACCCAGTGATAAATAACATGCAACAATGGGAAACTATAGCTTGAGGAGGTCCAGGGCCTGGTGGGAAATGGGAATGGAGCCCACAATTGCTCCCACTTACTTCTGTTTCTTTTTGTGAGTGTGCTTGCTGCCAGGAAGGAAAAAGAACATATTTTGCTTCAGGCATGCTGCATTTGCTTGCTTAATCTCTTAAGGCAGATTCTTCAAATGACTTCATCTTGAATTTTGTACATGCCACTAGGTGGCAGGGCTACCACTATGCATAACACTCTTCTTGCTTTTTGAGATTATAATATAATTACAACATTTCTTCCTTCCATTTCTTCCCTCCAAACCCTCCCATAGACCCCCTCCCCACTCTCCTTCAGATTCATGGACTCTTTTTTCACTAATTGTTGTTACACACACACACACACAGAGACAGAGAGAGAGACAGAGAGAGACAGACAGACACAGACAGACACAGAGAAAGACACAGAGACACACACACACACACACACACACACACACACACACACACACACACACACACACGGTAAAATGCAACTGTACTTCTATGGCTACTGTCTCAGCCATTCTAGTAATCGATCTTTTAAAGAGCAAATGCATGGGAATGTACTGGGAATTCAGTTGAGGAAACCATAAAAATCACAAAACTTTATGACTCAGTAAAATACTTAAAACTGGCTGACTTTGCATTAGGACTTATTTTTTCTGGTTTTATAAGATGATTAACATCTATTATGACACTAACATTGGTAGTATCCCCATTACAGATGAGGGATTGAGAGGAATTGAGGGGAAAAGTTCTGCTTAATGTCATATAGCTAGTTATAAGGAGTAAGTGGTACAGCTCGAGCCTGAACTTGGGTAGATTCTCCTTTTTCCCAGTGCCTTCTGTTAGTTATGCCCTGTGTGAGCTCCCTTTGTTTAGCCTACTCCCTAAACAGAAACTCGGCTGAGTATCATCTGTTCTGTGAGGAAGATGCTCACTGGAGTTCAAGCTGTGTTGAGCAGAAGAACCAGAGGTTGTGGTAGAGTCTTACAGATTTTTCCAGTTAAACATCGATTTGCTTTTAGGTGGGTGGTGATGCAGCTGCTGCTGAGCCGGTAATAGAATCTTAGTGCACTTCAGATGTCTGGGCACTGATGTGGTTTTGCACATAATTTTTCATGCTGTATTTTTCTTAAGGCTTTGGCCTTGCTTATGATGCAGCTCTGGGATTCTGAGATGGCTCATGATGTTGCTGGCTTGTTACACAGATAGATACAGTTAGTATGCGAGGAAGGTACCATGTGGCACCGACTCTTGAATTGACTTCTGCAAGTAAAAAGAAAAAAGAGGTAAATGGGATTCTGTCTTACACCCCGAAACTTCTAAAAATTAGCAATGATTTTTTTACAGGCAAATCTTTTTCTTTTATTGGACTTCAATTTTTTTCTTGGTAGTTTTTTTTATTACCATCTATAAATTACATGTAATAATTGGTTTTCTTTCTTTTTTCTTGTTATTTTTCAAGACAGGGTTTTTCTGTGTAATAGTAGCCCTGGCTGTCCTGGAACCTGCTCTATAGACCAGGCTAGCCTCAAACTCAGAGATTCACTTGTCTCTCTCTTGAGTGCCAGGATTAAAGGAGTGTGCCACCATGCCCAGCTTGGTATGACGTTTTCAATAAATGTACTTAATGTATTTTGATCTATTCACCCCCTCTTACTTTGATTAGTCTCGATTCCCACTCCTGCCAATCTCTTTCCTCTTCTCAAATAGTCCCTCTTCGACTTTCATGTCTGCCGCTTCCCAACCAGTGAGTTTCCTTATGGCCCTTTACAGAAGCATGGCTATCAACTGATAACTGCCAGTACATCTTCCAGGATGGGTGTAGCATTGCAAAGCCCTTTCCATGATAGAATGTTAACTCAAATCTTATGTAGGTCTCATGTGGGCAATCACAGCTGCTGTGAGCGAGTTCATGACCGAACTGTCCAAAGCTGATAGTAGTTCTTTTATGTGGGATGCACACTTAATTTGAAGGCAGTTTGATAGCACATCACTGGTCTTCTTCACCTTACTAGCCTATGCTGTGTGAACCCTGTTTACTCTCCACAGTCTATTTGGGGAAATAGTGCTGAGTACAGAATCCAATTCACAGTCTCTAGGTTTTTTGTTTTTGTTTTCTTGTTCACCCAAAATGTGTTTCTTGGGACAGTTTCCCACTCATCTTTTATTGATGATGCTTTGGTGCATTTCTCGCTTCCACCATACTCCTAGGCATATTTCGTATAGTCATTCACTGTGTTCCACTGCTTAAGGCTTTCTCAAGGACAGCCCCACCTGAAATCAAAGTCTTATTTACTATAAAATTGGAAGTGAGTAATTTTTGGCCCAATTTCCCTGTTCTTGGAATTGGAAATGGAGCCTGTAGTTGTTTGATCAAATGGACCTCATCACTCCATGGACCATAATTGTCGATTTCCTTGTAGCCTGTTGTCACAGGTCATTTCTTTTGTCTTTGTTCTTTTTCAGTATCAGTTCTGACTTCAGACTGTATTTCCTTCCTCACATATCCTCACTTTGGAGCTTGAGTATTGGTTGAGAAACTGTTCATCTCTCCAAGCTCAAGAGCTTAAGGAAGTGGAAAATTCATATCGTTTTGATTTCCCTATGCTCCCAAAAGAAGAGGCAGTGTTCCTATCAAAATCCCCTTCAGTCCTTGGTTTTCCGAGTCACCACAACTAGCCTCTTGGTTTAGGTAAAGGCCAATTGTTGCTTTACCAGTTCTGTTCCTTTTATGCCCCACTCTTCAGGACCTAAGCATTTTAGCCTTTCAGTCTGTACTGTCTTCACTGGGTCTTTTTCTCTCCAGGATCTGAATGTTTCTGCAACGTTTCTTCTTTCAACCAGTTGCATTTCATTTGGAATTCTGAAACCGCATTGGAAAAAAATCAGAACTCTTAGTTGGCTCCTATGTTAAACATAGGATAAGAAAGAGTTTTAAAAATTTTCCCAGAGCCATCCCTACATGTGAAATCATTTAATAATTGTTCCCCCAATTAGATAATGAGGAAGCTGGGGCTATTAATGTCATCAATAAAGGACAGCAGTGACACTAATGACTGCCAATTCAGTCAATTATAAAGACTTAACTCTTTCATAAAAACCTAAAGGCCTAAATTGGGGAGCTTCTACATAGCTGGACCAGTGGAAGTTGCTGAAGGGACATAGGAACTCTGCCCTCCTCCAGTTGCATCTCTGCACCTTTTCTGTTTGTTCATCTGTGTCTTTTTAAATGTGCTTCCTTTGTTAATTTGAGACAGACATTCGATATGTTGCCCTGGCTGGCCTGGCCTGGGACTTGCCTTGCAGACAAGGCTGGTCTTGAATTCACAGAGACCAGAGACCATCCTGTCTCTGCCTCCTGAGTGCTGAAATTATGCACAGCTCCCTCCCTCCTCTTTTGGCACAGGATCTCAAGTAGCCCAAACTGGGCTCAATGCTGACCTTGAACTTCTGATCCTCTTGCCTCCACCTCATTCCTCTTGAGGGCTGGGATTACAGGAATGCATTACCATGCCCTATGTAATACCCTTTATATAGAATGGAAAAACAAAAAAAATGGCAAAGCATAATATATAAGAGTACCCCCAGAAGGATATAATACAGGAGTTAACCTGAGAATCTTTGTCTACAGTCTCTAATCCACTCTGGGAGCAGTCAGCTATATAGCATTATAGGAGAAGGGAAATAGTAGCAGAAAGTATGAGAATTTGCTTGATTTAGACATACAGCATAATGTAAATCTTGACTCTGTCAATTACTATCTGAACCTTGGGCATGCTATTTCATTTCTGGACTTTTACTATTGCTATCTGTAAAGTGAGCATCACTGTACTCGTGTCAGAGGGTTCTTTTGAGAATTGAAGATGCTAATGGATATAAGTTAGGTTATTGGTGTGTACCAGTGTTCACAGTAGCACTTAGTGGGGAAAGAAGCTGATATTAGTTCTTTCTTTTTATTTCATTATTATGCATTAAGCATATGTTAATTATAAAAATCATGGATTTGTGACATTTTCATACAAGTGTATTATATTTTGATTGTAATGACCCTCTTTTCATTCATCGGTCCTTGTCCTTTTCCTAAAGAGTTTTCCTTCTACTTCTGTTCTTTTTTTAAAAATCTAGACTCCTTGTATGACAGTAATTCCTTTAAAAATACATTTTTCTTAGTTATTTAAGAATTTCACACAATGTATTTTGATCATATTCACCTACTTTCAGACCCTCTCCCTCCCAACTTCATGTACTCAGTTTTTTAACACACAGAGTCTAATTAGGCTTGCCAGTATGTTCATAGGTATAGAGTCACTAACTGGAGTATAGGAAACCTTCTAAAGGCCACATCTCTGAAGAAAACGGACTCTTACTGCTCCAGAAGCCATTAACTGCCAATAGACATCAGTTCTTGACTGTTGCTTTAAGTGTTTTTTTCTTTCTAGACTGGCAGTACCTTAAACCATTATGGGTAGATGTAAGTTGGCTCCACCTTTATGTTCTTTAATTTCTGCCACGGGATAGATATTAAGCCAGTGACTGTTTTGTTTTTTCCAGGTGGTGAAAACAATTGGCTTGAGGGAAGTTTGGTTCTTTGGTCTACAGTACCAGGACACAAAAGCTTTTTCTACTTGGCTGAAACTCAATAAGAAGGTAATCACTTAACTGCTGTCAGAAGTTGTTCCAGCTAATAACATTGCTTGCTAGCAAACCTGAGATACTTAGTAATATATTGAACTATAAAGGAAATGGTGTTTAGAGTGTTAGTTTACAAAGTTACATGGAGGGGAACAACCAGACTTAGCCAGCTGTCCTAAGTCAGACAACCATCATGTTTATGTAAGATTGTGTCATTTGTAGACAAAAGGCTTTTTCTACCTGTCTGCTTGGTTGGTTCTGCAGCTTTCATCTCTCCCACCCTGCTTTTTTATTTTGAGAAAGGGTTGCTTGTTATAGACTGGTCTCAAGCTCTCTATGTAGCAGGTGGTGGGTGACCTTGAACATCTGATCTTCTTGTTTCCACTTGAGTGTTGGGACTGAAGGTAGCCCAACACCATGCTCCTACTGATGACTTTCATCAAAATATAGGCAGAGAACTCAACTGAGGTAAAGTTGTGTTTCAACTTTGACTTCTGAGCAATATGGCCACCCAAAAGGAGTGCAGAGGATTCTTTAATTTAGACTTGTTGTGGACCAAAGCTTCCAGTGGTTTAAGGTGAGATCCCTTTCTCGAGGTCTGTAGGACTGTAAGAAAGAGCTGAAACTCCTTAAACATCTGCAGACACCTGGCAGACTTCCTTCTCCATACCCCCCAAACTGGTTGACTTTGACTTTACAAGTCTAATACTGTGCTGTGGCTCATTTTGCTGACTGTATCTAGAGGCAGTTATCTCACTTTTGCTTATAAAACAAAGATCTTGTTTTATTAAAGCATGGAGACTTTGTAGAATTACATTTATTTACTATGTATGTGTATGTGTGCATGCATGCATGCCATAGTAAACATTTCAGTTCTTTCATTCATTTTGTTGTTCCCCAGGATCTAAATGAGGTCATCAGCCTTGGAAGCAAGTGACTTTACTCTCTGAGTCATGCTGCTGGCCCCAACAGTAGCCACTTTTGCTCCACAAAGTAGGAGCCATTTTCAGGCTTTAGAAGGTCATGTGGTTACTGTCTAACCCAGCCAACTCTGCAGCTTCAACCAGATGTGCTGTACTGCAATAATTTATAAAGTAGGAGAATACTTGAAAGAGGAGCTTTAGGGGTAGGGGAGATTCTCGGCTCAGCTCTTAAGAGCACTGGCTGTTCTTCCAGAGGATCTAGGTTCAGTTCCCAGCACTGACTTTGCAGCTCACACATGCCTGTAACTCTAGTTCTGGGGGATCTAATGCCCTCTTCTGGCCAACCTAGGTGCCAGCCATGCACTTGACACAGCACCCGCATACAGAAAAATTATAAAATACAATACATTTTACACAAGAAGCTTAAGAGAGAGGAGTATTCTTAAACCTAGTCCCAGAATTTGAAATCATTGAGCTGTATTGTCAGGTAACAGTGGCTTCTGTCATCAGTGTGTATTAGAAATTTTAAGAAGAAAATTTCCAAGGGGAAGTAATATATGTAAGATTCCTCAGTGACTTCTGTGTTTTAGTTTAGTTTAGTTTTGTTTTAAATTATGAGGAGAGTCGCAGGCTTTGGAGATTACTTGAAATTAAAATGAGCACTCTCCCACTACCTTAGACACTCTCCCATCACCAAAATCTAGTATTTGAGAGCCTACATAACCTTGTTCCTCCCAGGTGACTGCACAGGATGTGCGGAAGGAAAGTCCGCTGCTCTTCAAGTTCCGGGCCAAGTTCTACCCAGAGGATGTGTCTGAGGAGCTGATCCAGGATATCACCCAGCGCCTGTTCTTTCTGCAAGTGAAGGAGGGCATTCTCAATGATGACATCTATTGCCCACCTGAAACTGCTGTGCTGTTGGCCTCCTATGCTGTCCAGTCTAAGTATGGCGATTTCAATAAGGAAGTACACAAGTCTGGCTACCTGGCAGGAGATAAGCTGCTGCCCCAGAGGTGAGGTGGTACCCTGGTCTTTTGGCCTGGGTAAAGTGGATAGGGGGTAGCAACCAAAAACTGGCTAATCCCCACTCCATATGGGGTGCCAGATAAGTTTCTTTCCACTAGGTTCTGTCTAAAGACTGTTGTGCTGCTCAGAGAGACACATTTGCATATAGTATTGTATCTTATTGTATTTCCGGTCCCCAAACAGCAGTTTTCCTCTTTCTATCCCTGATTTCAAAGCTTCATTACCCTGGAGATAGGTGCTTACGTAGAACCTAAGATGGGTTGATTTGTTTTGTCCTCCCCCATTTTCATTTCTTCTTCACTGATGAGATTTTATTTTAGAAATTCACAGGAGAGAAAGAGAAAAATATGCAAGTCACGGGTACCATTCTACAGAGTTTTCTGATTTTGTAAACTCCAAAGGTGAAAGCTCTTAAACACTTAATGTTTTTGTTTTAACATCATGTCAATGCCAAATAAACAAAGCAAGCGGTTTCTTTATTTTCTGGCTCAGGAAGGAGAGATAACAGAGGTACTCTCTCTGATTTGCCCCATCTCTCACATTTGAAGCAGAACTGACCTGGACAGCCAATGTCCTGATTCTTCTTTTTTTTTTTAACCTTGGAGGTTTTATTTCATTTTGCAAAAGCTTTTGGATTAGAACAGGAGAAGAAAAACTAAGAAAGCCTGATTCTGGGATCCTTAGTGGAACTGGAGCTGTGGCCTGTACACATGCCATCAGAAGATATTAGAGATAGTAATTGTGCCCTAGGAAACTTTTGCAGTCAGTGTCATGATGTCTGAGCTGGCATATTTTAAAACAAGCTTTGTTTAACAATCTGGTAGAATTATGGGTCAGACCTATTGGTTTCCTTCAGAGTAGTTTGGGACTACTTCCTTGCCCTATATCCAAGGTGTCTTATGAACACCAACTCTTGGCCCCAAAGGGTGTTGGAGAGAATATCCCTGCCTATCTGTACTGTTAGCTCCCCAGCACAGACTCCTGATGTATTATTGTTGAGTTTGGAGATGCAACACATTATTAGCTTTGTGGTTAAAGGAATAAAGAGGGCCTGACCTTTAATCCCAGCACTTTGGAGGCAGAGGCAGGTGAAGCTCTCTGAGTTTGAGGCCAGCCTGGTCTATGTAATCAGTTTCAGGATAGCCACAGCTACATAATAGAGAGACCCTATCTCAACCAACCAACCAAACAAATAAATAGATGAATCCCTGTCTCAGACAGATAGATAGATAGACAGACAGACAGAAGTGGAATGAATGAATAAAGAGGGTGATTCCATTGTCCTGTTTGGTCATCTGTTCTTGGAGCTCTTTTAGGAAGTTCCTTGTGTCTGCTTCAGTGTCTGTACTTTTCTGATCATTCATTGTCTTTCTAGAGTCTTGGAGCAGCACAAACTCAACAAGGACCAGTGGGAAGAGCGGATCCAGGTGTGGCACGAGGAACACCGAGGCATGCTCAGGTAAGCCTCTCACCATTGTTTCATGCTGGGGTGCACATGTGGAGGTCAGAGACAACTTTTGGGAGTCTATCCTCTTCTTCTACTCTACCATGTAGGTCCCAGTAACTGAACTCAGGTTGTCAGACTTGATGGTCACTGCCCTGACCAGCTGAGCCATTGTACCAGCCTTAGAAGTTTTTTTGGGAAATGATCTCAGTAAGTAGCCTAGCTGATCTTGAACACACAATCCTACTACCCCTACCTTCCAAGTACTGGGGTTACAGACATGTTCCACCACTCACTACATCCTAATTAGTTTTGACTTCAGTGAAGAGGAAGAAACATCAGGAACTCAAGGAAGTTTCTGGGCTACCTAGTGATTCCACCCCTAAAAGGAAATGATAAAGGAACTCACTAAACATAGTAAAAGTATTTGATGCTTGAGGAACAAATGTCATTTTACCATCAGTACTCTGTCTAAATTCTGCTAGGAATGCACTTCTGTAAGAGGGTGTCACAATGGAAAAGAGGGAGAATAGCTTCCATAAAGCTGATATTCCTGAAGACAAGGGACAGCCTCTCCTTATTCTTTGGGCTCCTGTCAGCAGATTTCATTTAACAGAACGGATGCATATTTTTGTTATTCATCATTTACTTACATTCTATCTATTTCCCAATCCTGGGAGCAATACTGTTGTCGGAAACACAGATCAAGCTGGCTATTTTTTATGTTGCCAGGTCTGATGTGGCAGTGCTACTGTGTGACAGTTCCTCTTTTCCATTCTTCATCATATAGGGAGGATGCTGTCCTGGAATATCTCAAGATCGCTCAAGACCTGGAGATGTACGGTGTGAACTATTTCAGCATCAAGAACAAGAAAGGCTCAGAGCTATGGCTGGGTGTGGATGCCTTGGGACTCAACATCTATGAGCAGAATGACAGGTATACGTCAGACTTCTTTAAACATAGGTGTCATCCCTTACCACAGAGCAAGTCTAGAGCATTTGAGTCACACCTCAATTATTTTTCTACCTAATGAAGTCCAGCCAAGATGTTTGTATAGCTTCCTTAATCCTCTGTTAACTAGAGTTATTACTATTATTATGGTAGTCACTAGCCACATCTTATTATTGAACATTTGAAATGTCATTACAGCTGAGATGTGTCATAAATGGAAACTACATATACCACACTTTGAAGAACTACTATGAGAAAAAAAAATGTGTACTAATCATCTTTCTATACCCATAACAGAATTCCTGGGAGAAATCAACTTCAAGGAGAAAACATATAGTTTGGCTTGTGTATTTACTTGATACAGTTGCTTTGGGCCTGTATTGAGGTAGAATTTCATGGTGGAGAACATGTAGTTGCTGACCTCATGGCAGCTGAGAAATAGACAATGAAAGAGGAAGGGATTGGAATCCCGATATTTCCTTTGAGGATATGCCCCCAATAACCTACTTCCTCCATCCAAGCCCCATTCACAAAGCTCCGCCATCACTAATAATGCCATTATCTGGGAACCTAGCCTTCAACAAATGAGCTTGCCAGAACTCATTCTCATTTAATATCTAATATTTAAATTATTCTGGGTATGGTGGTGCATGCCTGTTATCCTAGCACTTAGGAGGTGAATGCAGAGAATCAGGAGTTCAAGGCCAGCCTTGACTATGTAGTTAATTCAAGGTTTTCTTAGTATAGGGCTGTTAATGTTCTGATGAAACACCATGACCAAAAGCAACTTGCAGAGGAAAGGGTTTATTTCACTCACTCTTGCATATTTATCATTAAAAGCATTGATCACAGGAGCTGAAGCAGGGCAGGAACCTAGAGGCAGTGGCTGATGCAAAGACCATGAAGGAGTGCTGCTTACTGGCTTAC